CTATCACTAATAATACGGAACATATCTATTGTGTAAAATTAAAAATAGGTGCACATTGTGTTATTTTTACACTTTTTTTTAGTTGTTTTAATAATTTAACATTTGAGTTCAATTAACGCAACAGGAATGTGTTAAAATGTGTCAAATATTTAATATAAAAATTTTAATCGGTATATTTTTTAATAAGAGAACACAAATTTTCCAATAGTGTATCAATCTATATTTGCGACGAAAGAGAAAATGGGAGAGAAAGAGAGAGAGAAAGAGATATTTTTAATTATCATATTTCTGGAGATAAATATTTGCACAATTCTTATTTTTCGCGATGTAAATTAAAAGATCGCTGCACAGGATTTATCCCATAATTCAGCTTCCGCAAATTTTTCTTTTTTTAAGCGAGAGACACGAATGACAATCCTGTCACATGTCACGGTTCGTCAGGTCGCCCGACCGGCAAAAGAGTCACATACTAATAACTGGAGCAAAACAGTTGTGTAAGCCGGTGGGTGGCCGCCTTTCTCTACAAAGCGACTGCTAGTAGTTTTAGCGCTGCGCCGAGATTTTCTGTGTGCTTATAATACGAAAGATCGGCGACGTGCTGACAGATTTGTGTCGATTAACGAATATTGTTGCATTGAGAACTTAACACTCAAGAGCGGACTGATGAAAAATATTCCGCGATTTTCCGTCGTGGCTGGGATTTGCAACGTCTGATAATGAGAATTTGTATCAAAACGATATTTGATTCTATATTCATATTTAACATTTGATATAAATTCTGCGTTCAAAGAGCAGGGACATATAAATAAAAAGGTTCAATTTTTCAAAAAAAAATTTTTTTGCAAAAATCCGTAACTGCTCGCGATCTGAAGATAATTAAGGAAAAAGTCAACTTTTAGTGCATCATTGTATTGTTTTTAAACATAATCGTATTTATATAATAGCTTCAATTTTTGATATTAATTTTTTTTTCATTTGGAAATTTTTTTTCTTTTTCTATTAGTTAATTTTTTTTTTTTTCTAATCGTAAAGATACAAGTATTTAAACATGTTTTTAAAGATATATATTTATATTCTTTTGTTATGCGTGGAAAGAATTATTTTAACTTAAATTATTTTAACTCAAAAATATATATGGAATAATATATTTTATTTAATTTAATTGAGTTTTTTATTTAATTAACTTTTTTAATACATGGCAAATATCGCGTAAACATTACTGTATCTAAAATTATACTGCTTATTCGCAATTATAAAAAAAGATATTTTCGGCATTGATTGCAGGAGTTGTTTCCATTATCGGTTCGATGCAGAAAAGGCATTGACGAAAGTCGGGCAGCTGCAAGTACGAGCTGAATTCGAGAGATCAGACAGACGGTAAGGTAAGTGAATTGTCGCGAAGGTCGCCCAGCTCACTTTTCCCCTGCACTTTTCTCGGTTGATTCTCGACTTCTTGCAAGCCTTTTACTCCCGTCTGTCCGTCCGCTACATTTCATTGCACTGAGTCGTTCCCATAAAAAAAGCCTCGATTTTTCACATTTGAATATGTTCCGTTTATCATGTTTTATTACACTGGGTTAAATTATATAGAATTTAACACACGTACAATCGCCGAATCTCATCTAGTTTACCCGTCATGAATAATAATTATCTCGAATAACGAACTTTCCCCCTGTACATAAAAAGTTTAAGAATTTTCGAAGGATATAACATTTATATACCATATATATACAGGGTGAGGAAAAAGTATGGAAACCCTGAAAAATTTCAAAAAATATAAGTTTTACAAAAAATTGTTTCCAATAAAAGTTGTGGGGTTTAAAAAGATCTATTTACTGATTGATTTGTCTCATTATTCTGTACATAAAAGTATTACGGTAAGATTATCGAAAACTAAATATTTTACGAGATATTTTATTTTTTATATCAAAATATGTCAGATTAAGATATAAAATAACTCGAAAAATACTTAATGAAATAATACTTTATTATAGTGTTTTGAAAAGCTCTCGAGGCTACAAGAATATGCAAAGAAAAATGGAGGTTGCCATTTAAGAAATTAAAGGTGACCCTGTCTTGACCTTGGCGACGCCACCCAAACCCAAACTGATAAGATCAGTAAATAGATCTTTTTAAACCCCACAACTTTTATTCGACACAATTTTCTGTAAAACTTATATTTTTCGAAATTTTTCAGGGTTTCCATACTTTTTCCTCACCCTGTATATATCATACATGACGACATACATATATAAAATGATTACTTAAAAGTTCTATTAATGGCTCAATCTATATGAAAAATTGATAATTTTTAGGTATTTTTTTTGAAAAATATTAGAAATTGATCTTTTTGGCGTTTTACATATGTTTTTATTAATATTTAAACAATACATCAATATTGAAAAAATTTTTTTTTAAATGAAGGAACTTGGTCTATTTTTATTTCGTAGGATATTTTTAGGATACTGAACATATTTCCATTAGAAAAAAATAACAAAATAGTGTTATTTCAAAATTAGATATTTCAATTTTGCTTAAATTTTTTCATTTCTTGAAGTTCAGAAAAATATTAAATATTAATTTCTAAAATTCTAATTAAGTTCAGTATCTCCATAAAAGTATTCTCTTTCATTAAAAAAAAAAATAAAGTTATTCAATCCACTAGTTTTAAGAAAAACGCGTTTGAAGTTTTACAGACCCATTTCAAGACTTGGACGTTATTCTATTCAAAATCTTATAACTCCCTCAATTTTGCAAATTTTTTGATAACGTTTGGAAGATATTGTTCAGACATCATATTTTCAGAAAATGTAAAAAAGCTGATTTTTTTGATCCTTTAAAGTAGACTGGACTCTGAAAAGACAAGATTTTGAAGGAATTATTATTAAGTAATTGCAATATATATTACAGAATGATTAAACTGAACGAATGCGAAAGAGATGAGAATGGCCGCCTGTTTTTCTGCAGCGTTTCTCTTTGGCGTTGATAGAGCGGTGATTAAGATTGTTGAAAGCGAAACGTGCAATTTCGACAAAGTTCATCGAAAGTGACGTTTACCCGACGTTTCTAACTTCACCTTCGAAACGATACATCACGTGACGGTTTTGTATTCTTGGTATTCTTTCATTAGGGATAATTATTACGCATAACAGTAAACGACGGTCTACGCTTTACGTTCATGCATACGCGTGCTCGTTAAAAATGCGTGAGAACTATCTGTTGCGCGACGAGAAAGCTTCGAGATAAAAAATTCGCTGATTTTCTCGTGTAAAAAGTTCCCTGACATAAAGCTGAAAATAAAATAAAATAAAAATAAAAGATGCACTGTTGAAAAATTTATGTTTTCTTGTTAAAGAATATGCCGGTTAAAATTTTTGTATTAAATATTTAACACATTTACGTGTTACTTTAACATATTGCTGTTGTGTTAATTGAACTCAAATGTTAAATTATTAAAACAACCGAAAAAAATGTAAAAATAACACAATGTGCACATATTTTTAATTTTACACAATAGATATCTTTCGTATTATTAGTGAATTTATTTATTATAATTTATAGAAAAAAATGTTGATTTTATCCTACAATAGGAATAAGAGTAACTATAGACCGTCAATAACATTTTTCCAAGTAATTTTATCATTAAAAATATGTTGATTTTACATAAAATTTATTTCAAATTACTATGAAGTTTACATTCATTTTGTGTTGAAATATTAACATAGTATTGTAGCCATATTATGCTAAATTAACACAAAAATTTATGAAAGAATACTAATTAAAAAAAGTTGATATAAAATTTTCATGTACATCACAAAAAAATGCAACGTTCTTTCTTCTTTAAATAAGATCTAGTTTCAGAAAACGTGATCTAATTTTTGCAAAACGCTTCCTACTTTATATAGAAAAAACTCAAGTTATATACATATATTTTTTAAATAATTGAAGAAAATTATGTGTGTTTCCACAGGATTTTGTTTATCTGGTCGATAAACAAATCGACCAGGATAAGCGGTATCGGAACGAGCGAAGACTCCGATGGACGAAGGAGAGAAAGAAAGAGGGGATCTCTCGTGCTAACAGAAGGGATAAGAAACCCATGCACGTACTCTTACCAGCGGTGCGACGACTTTAGTCTGACGATCGCTTCCACGGAGTGAGGTTGACTAAATCCGATATTATAATCCCAAGATAATCCGTCGGTTCGAGCACACACGGTGCCTTGGATCCTGGTGAGTGATTGGTGCAAAAACAAAAAGAAAAAAGAAAGAATTCGACGAAGAGTGCTTCCAAAATCTCGCATCGCGATGCATAAAGGTTTAATTTAAATTTTACCTCGCAAAACAATACGGGAAAAATTAAGTTGTCAAATATTCGAAACTCGTAGCGATGCTTGACAAATTAAATCGCGCATGTAAAATGTTTACAACGAAAATATTGTGAACAAACGTCGAGACAAGAAAGTCAGAAGAAAGGAAATTTTTCTTCAAATAATCCAGATTATTTAGAGATTCAGATCATTATTTTTTATTGTTTCCGGAAACGTTTTGCGAGACAGCAAGAAATCGAAGCTCCTTCCAATATTGTATTACGCAATAATTTACATAATAATTTATATTCCTGTATCGAATTTTGCTACTCTCGGGAGAAGACATATCTTTCAGTTTCCGCGGCACGTGGCGCGAGCCTGCTCCCTCCTCGCTCAATCTTAGCAAAGTCGAGGAAGCCGTCGACTTCGCGAACGTGTGCGCGTGGTGTGCAACGGGCAGGAGAAAGTGCGCTTGCTGTGTGTCTATCTTTCGATATTTTTGGCGGATCGATTTGCGACAGCGAAATCGATGACCGAGCGTCGTCGGCGACCTGCCTGACGATGAGAGGCTCGCGTTTACTCAGGACAGCATGATTCTCGGCGCGTGCGGCTTGTCCGCGTGCATTAACATGCGCGAAGACACACGTGTTCGCGGGGACCGCTAGATCCATCTGAAGAAGTGAAGAAGAACGCCTGACGTAGAGCAGGAACGAGAGGACATCTCCTGGCAAGGATCATCGAACGTGCAACGATCGAAGATCGATTGCGAGGATAATTACTGGCCGCCGAACTATACGGGTTAGTCATTTTTTATCCTTTTGATCTGAGATTTTTAAAGAATGAATAATTAAATGAATCGCGTTATTTTGGCAGAGAAAAATTGGCAAATTTAATACGGATCAAATAAATTTTATTTTATTATTTGTTAAATTGTGATTACTGAAAAATTGACAGGCAAGAATTTATGATAAATTGTGTGTTTCCTAAATGTTCTTAATTATTAGTAAATTATTTTGAGAATATAATTGACAGAACATACAAGACACATATGTTGATTTGGGAAAAGTAATGATTCACACTCTGAAGGATAACAAAAAAAAAGAATCGTCTCTACCTACAAATGATCATAATATAATTCTTCATTAATCAAGTTAGAATCATGGCGTTCATTATATTTGTATTCTTTGGAAAATGATAAAACTGCTTAAAAAGTTATACCGATTTTATCACCACTTAAATATTTTGTAGGCGAGGTTCTTCTGAGTAATTGTCCGCAAGAAAGAAGTAGGGGACAGCATCGGTTTAGGTGATATAAAAAATTAAAGTTTCACAATTTTTATGCTTTTTTTAGATATTATAAAGTAATATTAGGAAACACTGAAGTTTGTGTACGTTGTATCTCTTGTAAAGTAAATGTGAAAAAAGTTTTTGTTTACATTTATAGGATAGGTACATGGTCATGATAAATTACAAAGATAAATTTAATGTTTATACATGTAGCTTATTATTTTTCCTCATTTCTTCTTATTCTGGTGACTAAATATATCTAAAACGATAAATGTTATTTATTAAATGCGTGGGAGGGGGAGGAACGGAGCCCCTTTCCTTGCATCCCCACCCCAAAAAAATTCTAACTTAACCCAAACCTATTTCCAGTTTTAAAAGTAAAGTTGGATTGGGTTAGATTAGAATTTTTTTCCGGGTAGGGGTGCAGGGAGAGGGACAGAGTCTTTTCCCCCTACGCGTAAATGTTGTAAGCAGCCTTTTTCAATCAAAAAATAACAGATTATTACAGCATACACAAACTTTAATGTTAAACTTCAATTTGTTATATCTTCAAAACAAGCCGTCCCCTACTTCTTTCTTGCGGAAAATTACCCAGAAGAACGTCCCCTACAACATATTTAAGTAGCGATAAAATCGGTGAGGTGTAACCTTTTATGCAGTTTTATCTGGAAAATTATATTTTTAGCCAAGTATTTATATATCGGCGACACACACACACACACACACATTACGTAACGACGGATTGCATATGCAACATTATGCACAGCCCGTCACCTAGACGTAAACTGATTTCAACCAGTTTCTCCGATATTTTTCTTTGATTCGAAATATCGGCTTTCACTATACAACTATAGACGCGCGCCTATATACGAAAAAAACTCAAGTCACATTATTTCTCCCGTTATTCTTTTTCCGTTCGTTCTTCATTTATTGCTTATTTCTTGTATACGCGGAATCCTCATGCAGGATTACTTTGTTGAATGCATCAATGCCTTTTTTTATTTTTTAGCGACAGGTAGAAATTTTTTTAAATAATTTTCCTTTTAGAAATATATTACACTTGTCACTTTCTGTATACCATTATTTTCGTTTGAATTTTTGATACGGAATATTTTTCGTACTGATAAGTTAAACAAAATTACCGCTTAAGGTAATTTCGTTAGGTGAAGTGAACTCTTGAAATGCCTTAAAAAATGTCAAAAAACGATTTTAAAAAGTTGCAAATAAGCCACACTGTGCTCGGTTATTTTCTCGGTGTTCGCCGATTTTCCGTGGTTAGAAACGCCCATCTTTTCTTCCCATCGCCTTTACAGCGAGAAAATCGACAGGCGCAAGAAACTCACCGCAGCGTATCATTTATCGCCGCAGTTGTGTATAGTATAGATAATAGGCAGTGGTCTGAATCACCGAGTTTTGTGTATCTACATAGTTGGAAAATTTATGTTTTCTTGTTAAAAAATATACCGGTAAAAATTTTTGTGTTAAATATTGAGTATATTTACGTGTTAATTTAACATATTGCCGTTGTGTTAATTGAACTCAAATATTAAATTATTAAAACAACTGAAAAAGTGTACAAATAACATAATGTGCACATATTTTTAATTTTACATAATAGATATGTTTTGTATTATTAATGACAAGATTTATCTGTTAAAATTTACAGAAAAAAATGTCGATTTTATGCTACAATACGAATGAGAGTGACTACAGTCAATAACATTTCTCTAAGTTAATTTTATCATTAAAAATATGTTGATTTTACATAAAATTTCTTTCAAATTACTATGAAGTTTGCATTCATTTTTTGTATTGAAATATTAACATATTATTAATGCCACCATTTAATATATCCATATTATGTTACATTAACACAAAAATTTGTGTGGACTGTTTGGGATATGAGATATATGTTAAATTTAATGTAAATTTTTTAACTCTTAAGAACTTTTTCTCTCTTTCTTATCTTAAATGATCCAATTATTCGTAATGCTCCATTTCCTCTCTCTGTCGGCAATCATAAACTTTTATTCTTAATAAAAAAAAGCGCAGCTGTGAAATATCATCGATGCGCGATTAAATCTGGTGTTAGCAACAGTTCAAAAATAATTCAAGGAATATTGAGTCTACTATTTTAGGTTCAAAAATATCCTCTTATATATCTTCTCCTTTAACATTTATATTTCTATATAAATTACTTTCGCTTTAAGATTACCTACTCTTACTTTAACATCGTTTAATCGATATCTCTTAATTAGCATATATCCCGATTAGCATCTAGTACACTAGTCGTTTTGATATTGGCTTTCGATTTTTAATTTTTGCCATTTCTTTTCTTTACATGCTGTGACATCGGCAGTATTTTGCAGACACATCGAAATTTTAAATAAACCTTAAAATGTATGAAGTTTATGCTTTTTAAAAATTAACAGATTAGGGCCGGGTTGTTCCAACCTCTAGGTAAACTTATCTGACGGTTAAAAGCACACTAATGTATGCTTTTAACCGCCAGGTAAGTTTACCTAGAGGTTGGAACAACCCGGCCTAAAACTTCTAATTTATTTTACGTTACGTATCAAACGAGCATCGTTTAATCGTTAATAAAAATTTACGCGATTAACGACGTGAGCTTTTATTCTGTCGTGAATTGAAAATCGCGAAGATCGCTTCCTTATCTCAATCTACTTAGCCCTGTTTGTCGAATCCGCCTTGTTGATCGAATCTGACGTTTCCTGAAGCGCCGCAGAAAACTCTCTCTTTCATTCGCACACGTGCTACGCATCACGCGCACCTACCACAAGATACTCTCCTCTCTGCATCTATACAATTTCTATTCTATCTCCGCATGATTCGGATATGGAATTTTCAAGAGAGAAAATCTCTTCTCTACGCAACCACGCGAGTAATTTCAGCCATTCTGGATTCCAAGATGAAACTATTTATTTGCATTTATAATGATCAAAAAAATACATGTAATATACATTTTTCATAAAAAGAAGAAAGAGAAAACTCCAACGATAGAGAGATCTTCGTTTATGCATGTGGATAAAGACTATATAACGAGAACGTGATCCAATTAATTAAAGAAATAAGTTGAATTACCGATAAGCGTATCGCATTCTACGTCTTGTGAATTATAATCGCAATTGCACGCGAGACTGTTATTACACGCTTTCTTTCACACTTTTGTCCGAAAAATTGCGTATCATCGTTGTTTAACTCTCTCCCTCGCGACGATGTATCGCATTCCTACGAGAAATTCTCGACGGAGCGAAGATCCGTTTCAGAGCGACAGGATTTCCTGTCGCGTTTGAATAGGATATTTCGCGATCTAGGTCGAAGAAGCATGCGTAGATTTATAGGCGATTTCTCGTCGTAATCTTGGCGATCGCGATATGCTCGATACACTGTTGGAGAGAATTTGTTTTAAATTTAACATATATCGCATGTCCCAAACGGTCCACACCAATTTTTGTGTTAATTTAACATAATATGAATATGTTAAATGATATTAATATGTTAATATTTCAACACAAAATGAATGCAAACTTCATAGTAATTTGAAATAAATTTTGTGTAAAATCAATTGTAGCATAAAATCGACATTTTTTATGTAAATTTTAACAGATAAACCCTGTCATTAATAATACGAAACATATCTATTATGTAAAATTAGAAATATGTGCACATTGTGTTATTTTTACACTTTTTTTCAGTGGTTTTAATAATTTAATATTTGAGTTCAATTAACACAACAGTAATATGTTAAATTAATACATAAATGTGTTAAATATTTAATACAAAAATTTGTATTGATATATTTTTTAACAAGAAAACACAATTAATATAAATAAATTAAAAATAATATTTACGAACCAGCGCAGTTTTTAACGCACGTACTTTATTGTAATTAGTCAACATTTATTGCTGTAAAAGCGAACGTTTCGGACTCTTTCTTTGGGCCATCCTCAGCGCAAATAATTCATGATAAAGAAATTCAAACTACATAATTACATAAATGGTCAGTAGTCAGACGACATGTGTAAAATAAAATAAAATTGTCAAAAGTAATATTAATTATAAATAATAACGTGGTGTTTATATCAGACATAATGCTTATAAAGTAAAATTGGCATTGAACGAATAAAAATACATAAATACTGTTTCTCAAGGTCTTAATATGTAAAATTAAATAAAAGCTGTCAAAATCAATCGATGCATTAAATCCTTGCTTTAATGGGGAGATGGAAGTTATCATAGTATCTCTTAATCTGAACCTTCTTTCGCTGGTCGACCAGCAAGTGGTAAAAAAGAGGTGTATTCATGGCCTCTTGTGTACATCACATGCTAACAAACAAATGGATGCGATTTCTATCGTTATATACAGGGTGAGTCTTTTTAATCTTAACAGGCAAATATCTCAAAATCTGTAAGTTTTAGAAGGAAACTTTTTAGATAAAAGTTGTTTAGTTCTAGGG